GTCAGCAGTGTCCAGGAGGCCCACCGGACAGGCAGGAAACAAGGGGGGAAGAGGTAGGGCGGCGGAGGCGCGGTGGAAGAGGATGGCGGTTGCACTTTGGCAGGCTTCGTGCAGCTTGTGGGCCCAAAGGACACCTTCAGCAGCTTTGTTGAGACGTCTTTGCGCGGCCTGCTAGGTCAGTGTTCACCCGGCATCCCCAGCGGACCGAAGGCTCGTTTAAATTTGCTGGCAGAGCGGGAGGCGTCTGTACCTGGCCGTGCCTGCCCCGTATCTGATGGCACCGAGATTGTCACCGACGACACGTGCTTTTTGCCGGCGACGCGCTGCGATGCTGAGCAGTGATAGCCCTGCCCTGCATCCCGCTACTTCGGCTGCTTGCGCGCTATCCGAGCTGAGTAAGGCCACAATGCCAATTCTGACGAGGTTGGGGCGCCCAGTCACTGGGTTGCGGTACCTTAGCGTGGCGCCACCGCCAGCGAGCTCGTGCTCTCCGAGTGCGCGCGCGCCGCCGTCAAAGGTGACCTCGCGCGGCCACAGGGTGGAGCCGGGGTTAGGGAAGGGAAAGTGATTGACAGTGATCTCGACTCCCCGCTCGAGGTTCTGCGCGGCACGGAGTGCGGTGGCGTGGGTGTCGCACGAGCGGCAGCGCCAGCGCGCCCATCGCGCCCGTTCGGCTGCGTGGGATCAATGCGTGGGCATGGGAACCAGCCAGGCCCAAGTAAAATCCAGCCCGCTCTGGGACGATGCGCGCGCGGGGTAGCTGGGTTCTCGCCGGAAGCGACTGCGCGGCTTAGGACAGGCAACCTCCTGATCCCGCCCCCCGCCCGATCCGTGGCGCTGTTGGCGCGCAGAGCGGCTGAGCCGTGCATCGCGCGGTGGGGCAGAGAATTTGGGTTACGCGCAGCGCGGTAATCTGCCATATGAGCCCAGACTGCAGTTTCAGCATCCTGGCCTTCACGCGCTGGTGGAGGTATATCTTCATACTCTTCGGCCTGTTCTACGCGATCACGGATTTCAAGGCCAAGTGCGATCAATCTCGAACCTTCCTGTGGAGTCAGGTGGGCGAGCGCGCGCTAAGTGCAGTGCCGAAAGGAGATTTGATGCACAACTCTAGCGGCCATCTGCCGGCGTGGCCCAGTTGTCACGAGAGCTCTTCCCAAATCCAGCGGCCCCCCCTCCTGCCTGACCCGGTCCCAGGCCATCGCGACTGCGGTGCGCCATGTCCACAGGTGTTCCGTAGTTGCCTCGCCTGAGCCGCGCTGTGGACAGACCTCATAAGGGCCAGAGGTGTGCGGAATCTGTAGGCATGTGGTCCTGTCGCCCGTGATGGCGCGCGCTGCCTGGCGAGCTCCCGCGGTAGCAGGTCGTTCGGGAGCGAGGCCCAGAGGGCGATCTGATTGGTCCATTCTCCGAGGCAAGTGCGGCACCAGGCGTGGCCGTGCTGTTGGGAGCTAGCAGTGCCGAACCCTGCGTGCTGCTTGGTGGCAGCTGCAGCAGACGTGCGTGAGCGTGTCGGCGGCGCCCTTTCGCCCCGCTGATCCTGGCATCCCGTTGGAGAGGGAGCGGAGCACGTGAACCGCAGCTGTGGAAGAGGGGGCATGGTGAAGTGGGTTCCATTCGACACCAATGCCTGCTGCCCACCTGCGGTCAGCGCTTGTTTGTCTGAGCTATTTCTGCGTCGGGAGTCCGTGTAGCTGGCGCCGGGCAGCCGTGTAAACCGCGCGCGCAACATTCTTGCCATGGCAGAGGGCTGGGCTGCCGTGTACCTGTAGAATGATAGGAGCGGCCTTGCCTGCTGTCATGACTCGAGAGCCAGGGCGAGGGGGCGCGCAGTGTGTGGGGTAGTTTCGCGCCCATCCTACAGTGCGATTCCAGCGGAGCCGAGCCCGTCTCTGCGCTGGTGCAGGGCCACAGATGTCGCCCATGACGTGCCCGCGCGCTGCCACCATGCGCGCCAGTGCAGTCAGACATTTGGGTGATCCCGGTATCTGGAAGAATCTCAGTCCTGGTGAGTATGTACTCGTGGACCCAGGTGGCACCGGCCATCCCGACACGAACCCGGAGTTGCGCATTGAGACCCCGCAGGGTACGGGGCGACGGACGCGCTGCGCGAATTCCAAGCAGCAGCAGCGCGCGCGGGAGAGAGGTTGGCGAGGTGGATGGCGGTGCTGCGAGGGCGGATTTTCGGGGGAGCTTAAGCCATGTGCTTTGGATGGGCGCGGGGGCTTGCTCCGGCGTGAATCGGCCGAGGGTCGGCAATGGGCCTTCCAAACTCCTCGCGGCGATGCGCGCGCCAAGACGTGGCCGCGTTGGCCGCGCGCAGCTGCAGCCAAACGGGGAGTGGTCGAGCACTTGTTTCCACCAGGGGTGGTGGCCAGCAGGTACTGCGGCCGTCTTGAACTTGCACCGACATGCAGTCTGCCAGGGGGAGCAAGTGCGTGTGTTGCCCAGGCTGGTTGTGATAATCTGGCAGGGCAGTCTGACTGGGAACCCGGCGATCCGCGCGCAGTCGGGCGCGCCGCTCCACATCCACAGGATCGCCGTCAAGGAGCTGCCTCAGTTCGCTTGTATCCCCTTGCGCTTCAACCCCGCAGCATGCGCAGCAAATGACTGCTGTGCTCGGTGCGGATGTGAGTTCTGCCGTATGTACCCCTCTGTTGCCACGTGGTGTCTGCCGAACATTATTTCCCAGGTGTCGCGCGGTGGGGGCGCAAGGTGTGGGTCTCGACCGACATGCTCTGTGGCTGTTCCGATGTTCGGCCCGCATTGCCCGCCTTTTTTGGCCGCCTGATCCTGGGAGAGCAGTGGCTCAATCTGGGGTCCAATCAGGTCGGCTAAAGTGACGCCGTGGAGTCGCCCAAGGCAGGTGGGTAACTGCAGTGGCCGCATGTCAATTGATAGTTCAGCCCCCGGTTTCCTTCCGATCCACACAAGAAGGTCCACCGAGGGACCAAGTACGGCGGCGATGTCGTGTGGATTCTGGTCAACGACGTCCCACGCTTGTGCAATCAGGCAGGCATGAATCGCGCGCGTGCATGGTGAACTTCATAGGGTTCTCCGTCCACGCCTGGCGCGCTGCATACAGGAGCTAGCACCAGTGAAGCAAGCCGCCCCCATCTAGGGGTTGGCGCGCGGTCAAAGGCAATTCCCGTCGCTGAAATAGCTGCCGAGAAGATCATCGGCACAGGGTGGAAGGTCTGAGGCTGTCATCCAGAAGTGGCGATCAGAGATCCGGATCGGGTCAACTTCGGAGTGTTTCTAAGTCCAATTGCTGTCTTTGTCCCGGATGCCGGTAACGTTGTGCAGTTTCTGAGCAATTCTGAGAAATGTTTCTGCCAGTCTTGAAATGGGCTGCGAAAGGCTGTCGCTCGGCACCTGGTCCCCGTTCGGACGGTGTGAAGGCGCTGGCGCGTTTCTGGGCCATCTCGAGGTCCAGAGCCACAGGTTGGCTTGCGCCTGTGTGAGCTTCCTTCCGTCCCAGCCGGAGCGCTCTAACCAATCAGCTAGGGGGCCAACAAGTTGCAGTGTACCAGTGTCGCGAGCAGCTTGAGCGAGCAGTGCTCCCGGGCTGGTCTGTTTACGTTTCTTGGTCCACTGCTTCCATCACTGCTGCAGGCCCGACGAGAACATGCGTCTCCCCAGCATCACCAAAGCAGGCAGATGGTGGGGATACGCGAAACGTGGTGGGGATACTTTTAGTCAGCGGCCGCGGGCGAGCGCGCCGGCGGCGAGTCCAGTCAAAGCGGGGCGCGCAGCGACGAATTAAACTAAAGCCACGGAGGGTGGCCACACCTACAGCGGCTAACCGGGACCTCACGCAGCAGCTCGGCGGCGGACCGGCGAGGGGGGGGCAGCTGAAACTGAGTCGTACTGCCAACGTGCAAATATGCATAGCGTCGGAAGCACCAGGAAGTCGGGACACACGACGACCCGGGCCAGAAGCCGAAATTACTGCAAGGACGCGACCCCGGACAACTGCGTGAGTACCAGGGTTGCCCGAAGGACCGTCGGTCAAGGTCGAATAAATGCCGAGACGAGGCGAGAGCGTTGGCAGGCTGCGAAATCCCAGGGTGGCCGTGCGTGGAGGGGATACGCGAAGCGTCTAGAGTTCCAAGAAGTATCCAATTGTGCAGTGCGCAATCGGATAATGGGAGCTGCGTGCATTGGAGGAGGAGGTGGCGGATGAGCAGGAGGGTGAGCAGGAGGAAGAAAAAAAGTTGCGGAAAGAGGATGACGAGGACGAACAGCAGCAACAGGAGCAGGAGGGGGGGAGCAGGAGAGCGGGAGGTGGGCAGCACCAAGAGGAGGTCCTCCTGCAACCGCCACCCCACTCTTCCCTACTCCTGCTCCTGCTACTACTCCTCCCTCAATCCTCCTCCTCCTCCCTCCGTCCTCGTCCGCGTCGTCGCCTCGCCTCCGCCCTCGTCCGCCGCCTCCTCCCTCCCCTCACAGCGGCGCGCAGAGGGGGGTAGGGGGACGAGGGGAGGCTTCTTTGAAGGAGGCTGCTTCTTAGAAGGCGCCGTGACTAGATCTGTGGATAAGGCCCGCGCCTTCTAAGAAGCGGCCTCCTTCCAAGAAGCATTCCCCCCTCCCCCATACCCCCCTTCTGAACGCGGCGGACCTCGAACCTCGAAGATTCAACATTCGAGGTGTTCGGACGTTGGCATCGGTTCCCAACGGATTTCCAGCCCCGGGGTGCCTTCCAGCAGCTGCACCTCGCGTTCTGTGGGTTCCCTGATCGTCCCGACCTGCAGATGCCCGAGTTACCACCCGAAAGCCGTGGCCGACAGTCTGCGCGTCATCCTCCTCGCCGCCGCCGCCCGAGCCGCCGCTCCGCCGCCCGCCGGAGCCCGCGGACTCGCGCGCGCCCGGCGGGCGCCCGCGGGCCGCCGCCGCCGCGGGCCGCCGCCGCCGCCGTGGTTGGCCGTGGTCGCCGCCGTGGGCCGTGGCCGCCGCCGTGGCCAGCCGCCGCCGCCGCCGCGGGCGGGCGGCCGTCCTGCGGCCCCCCGGCGCCACGTGCGCCTGCACCGGCGGCGTGGAGCTGGGGCGGCGGGCCTCGGCGGGCGCCAGGCCTCGCGCGCGCGGGCGGCGCGCGACGTGCGCGCCTGTCGGACGTGCGGCCCGGATTTGCTCACGAGGCGGAGGAGGAGGAGGAGGAGGAGGAGGAGGAGGAGGAGGAGGAGGAGGAGGAGGAGGAGGAGGAGGGGAAGGAGGAGGAGGGGAAGGGGGAGAGGGGGGAGAAGGGATGAGGAGGAGGAGGAAGGACGAGGGGGGGAGGAGGGCAGGAGCAGGAGCAGGAGCAGATGCAACATCAGCAGCATCAGCAGGATCTCCCGTTCCCCAGAGCGGCGGGCGCAGGGCGAGCCGCACCCTCACGCGGCGTTCGCGCGGCTTCGGATCCGTCGTGCTTCTGTCTGGACAGGCGCGTTCCACTACTCGCAGAAGAACTACTCGCAGATGGCCTGGATCCGCCGCGGGGGATCTACGATAACTTACATCAAAGCAGACATGTGTTTTTCGGACGTTTGCCAGTAGGCACTTGGCGAGGAGTGGAGCGCGACCGTCGCAAGTTTGTTGTGCCCTCAGCCTGGGTCAAGAGCTGCAGCCCGCAGGCCGGAGGGAACTTGACGCCGTCGGACGCGACTCAAACTTTGCGCCAGAAATGCACCCCGAACGATAGGAAAAACAGGGAACAAACCTCCGCTTCAGAAAAAGGGGGCGGACATCTCCGCAGAGGTATAGTGGAAACGGCGGAGGCAAAGCAGGGCGGACATCGGCATTCAAGGAGCTTGAACAGTAGGGCTGTGGAAACCGAAAGGTACCAACACTGCCACTCCCTGGACCTCTCCCAGGGTGCGTGCTGAGCAAGAGTTGGAGGCGAATCCAGCTGAGAGGACGAGAGCGTAGCGGTATCGTCTCCTCTTCCTCCTCTGAAGGGCGGACATTTCCGCTCTACATGCGAACGCACATCGAGGGGGGAATGGGGGGGGGGGGTCTGGCGGCGCGTGCAAGGAGGACGGAAAGGAGGGGGGAAGGCTTCTCAGAAGGAGCTCCATCGCGTCGTGCGCAGTCGGAGAATGGGAGCTGCGTGCAGTGGCGGAGGTGGCGGATGAGCAGGAGGGTAAGCAGGGCGGAGTAAGAAAAGAAGGTTGGGGAAGGAGGATGACGAGGACGAACAGCAGCAGGAAGGAGCGGGAGGGGGCGGGGGAGCAGGAGACGAGGAGGGGGGCAGAGGGAGGTAGGGGGACGGGGGGAGGCTTCTTTGAAGGAGGCTGCTTCTTAGAAGGCGCCGTCCCTGCATCTTTAGATAAGGCCCGCGCCTTCTAAGAAGCGGCCTCCTTCCAAGAAGCATTCCCCCCTCCCCCATACCCCCCTTCTGAACGCGGCTGAGGGGGGAGCCTCGGACCTCGAACCTCGAAGATTCAACACTGGAGGTTTTTGGACGTTGGCATCGGTTCCCAACGGATTTCCAGCCCCTGGGTGCCTTCCAGCAGCTGCACCTCGCGTTCTGTGGGCTCCCTGGTCGTCCTGCACGGCCGCCAGAGGCTCGCCTCACGAGCCGAAGGCCACTGGCTCGGGTAAGACGAGGCCAGGACAGGGACAACATCTGACCAGGACGAATCGAGGATCTCTGCGATGCGGCGATTCTGGGAGACGTATCGGGCGCCGCGGCCGTTCCAAAGCGCTTCGTAACGCTCTGAGCGGAACGCCCTGCAACGATCGATGCCTGTCCCAGCCCCGCCCGACAGACCAACAAACACACGGCAGATGTGTGTTGCTGTTTTCGGCCTTCGGGAGCCCTCGCCAGGCCCGGGGGCAGTAATCTTCAAACAAGCGGGCCCCTGGGGGCGGGTCGGGACTCCCAGGGACCGGGTGTGCAACAATCAAGGCATCGCATGACTGGGGGGGGGAGCCAGAGCTGCTGTGACGGTGCGCCGAGTGCAGCCGAGACGACCCCAGCGTTGGTTCCTGACGCTGGCGTCGTGGCGCCCCCAGCGTTGGTCCGTGCCGTCACAACACTGGCGTTGGTTTCTCTGACAGCGGGTAGATCGTTCAGCATTAAACAATCGGCGGCCGTTCGCTCGCGAGGTCGTCCCATGTCGGCCAACCCTGGGATGGTGGCGGCGTTCAACCAAGAACGCCCGAGGCGGCGTCGCCGCGGCGACAAGAACCTAATTACCGTACAAGAACACGGGGCAGGGACGCCCAAGGTCCTGTGGAGATGCCTCCTCTTTCTTCTTCTTGTCCCCCTCATCGTCATCCTCTTCCTGCCCCGCCTCTCGCCCATGGTCGCCAGCGTCGCCGTCGACTTCCTCCTGTCTCCCCCATGCCTACGACCATGCACGCGCGTTTGCGCGCGCGCTCCTGCGCATGGTCGAGGATTCGAAGAGGTCAGGAGCTTTCAGGGGCTTCTGAGGCTTCAGGATGCTCTGGGAAGTTCCAAGGGTCATGGGGGAGGGAAGAGAAGAAAAAGGAGCACGAGGTATAGAGAGGAGGAGAAGGGTGGATGTGATGGTGACGATAAGGCATGGCAGTGCTAAATTCGCCGGCCCAACGGGCCAGAGGCGTGCTAAGATCTCCGGTAACTGGTTAACAATAACTCTATACTGCGCGCGCGCGGAGCGGCCCCTGGGGGCGGAAAGTACCCCGGCAAGGTCCCGGGACACTCCCGGCAAACTCAGATCAGAGATGGTCTTCCTCCTGGGTGCGGCCTTCCACGCTCCCCGGAGCGCGCCAAGAGGGCCCCAACAGGCTTCCAAGACGGTCCAAGAGTGTTCCGAATCACCGAACGATCGGCCCAAGACGCCCAACACGGCCTCAAGACGGCCCAAGAAGCTTCCAAGACGTCCCAAGAGAGCCCCGACCCTTTCCAAGAGAGCACCAAGAGGCCAAAATCATTGATTTCCATTGGGTTTTTCAAGGTTTTTGGCTTCCTCGCCTTTTCGCCTTTCCGACGCTCCAAGACGGCCCAAGAAGCCTCCAAGACCACCCCAAGACGGCCCAAGAGGCCTCCAAGAGAGGCCCACGACCGTCCAAGAGGGGCCCACGACAGCCCAAGAGGCGCCCAAGACGGTTCAAAAGGACCCCAAGAGGGCCCCAAGAGGGGCCCAACATGGAGACCACGAACCGAGAATCCGAGCCTTCCGCTCCAAGAGGCCTCCTGGAGGCTCCTAAGAGGCCCCAAGAGGCGACAAGGGGCCCGAAAGAGACCCCAAGAGGCTCGACAACGACTTCCGAGAGTCTCCAAGAAGCCCTCGAGAGGCATCCAACGAGATCCCAATGAACGTCCACGAAGCCTCAGAGCGCCAAAACCATGCTCCAAGACGGCCCAAGAAGCCTCCAAGACCACCCCAAGACGGCCCAAGAGGCCTCCAAGAGAGGCCCACGACCGTCCAAGAGAGCCCCACGACAGCCCAAGAGGCGCCCAGGACGGTCCTAAAGGACCCCAAGAGGGCCCCAAGAGAGGCTCAAAATGGAGACCACGAACCGAACATCCGAGCCTTCCGCTCCAAGAGGCCTCCTGGACGCCCCAAGAGGCTCCTAAGAGGCCCCAACAAGCGACAAGGGGCCCAAAGAATGCAGAAAGGAAACTGCAGAATGTTGTCTTGTTCCCTGCGATCGTATTCACGAGCCGCCACCTTCCGAAACAGAAGGTTCAGGCGGGCACATAATGGTTCCCGCCTGCGAAATCACCCAAAGCCAGCCATCCATAAACAAAAAAACGACCCAGCAACGCCCCATTGACAACGATCACACGGGCACTCGACAGCCGTGCACCAATACGGGCCGGCGGAATGAGCGAAGCGATCAAATAAAGTGCGCACACCATCACCGTGCCTCCGAGCGGCAGTAGTGCCATCAGACCCTGGGCATCATCGTGGCCGTCGTTGTCGTCGTATTCGTCGTCGTCCTCCTTCTCCTCCTCCTCCTCCCTCCTCCTCCAAGTGGCTTGGGAGCGCAGGCAGTTCAGTTGCCCGTGGAACCGAGCCCCAAGCCCCCGAGGGCGAAATCCATCGCCGTTCCGCTCTGAGAGGGCAACCAGTCTTCCAGTCTTTCAGTCCTCTCATCGCCGTTCCATCCGTTTGATCACCAGACTCGTTGTTGATCCCGTCTGCAGGGCCATCAGGATCACAACGAGCGGACGTTCGAGGTCACCAGCTTGGCACCGTCGTGAACGGCTCCGGGCACCACCAAAAGGCTGCCGATCGTCTACGACCCTAGCTGCTGACCCTCGGGCGTGGGCTGCTTCGAAGACTATCTCTCGGAAGCACGTCAATCAAAGGTCGAGGTGCAGGCGCAAGTGTTCACCATCGTCAACGACGAAGACGACTCGAGGAAGGCCATGCATGATCCTGGACGCTGGCGGTGGATGCGGCGCACGCATTGCCTGCCACACAAGCTCGACTACCGACATCACCCTCCAGATTACCGTGATGCCCTGAGTTCAGGACAATGCACACTGATTGAACGGACACCGTAAGCCGCGAGGAAAATGCCTTCGACTCCTCGATGAGTATCGCGAGCGAAGGTGGTCAGGCGGATGGGGACTCGTAAGCGAACCGACGACGATACCGCCCTCCCCTCCTTTCCCTCCGTCCTCCGTCCGCAGCGATCCCCAACGCCTTTCTTGCCAGCCTCCTCCATCTGTCCAGGAACAATATGTGGCGCTCAGGCTCAGCATCACATTGCAAATTTGCGGTGTATTTTTGTATCGATGCCCCCTCGATTCCCTCCTCGCGCACCCCCCCGTGCTCCATTCATTCTAGGGAACCAGACCCTGGCCGCACGATGCAGATGCGGGCATGCGCCCTCGTATTGAGGGCTTGTGGGGTGCAGCGATTGAGGGAGAGGTGTAAGAGGGGCTTGGAGGAAGCTTCGCTACGGATTTTGAGGGGCTCAAATCCCGAGCCCCCAGCCAGGGTGGATGGTTGGGACCGCGGTGTTTTTGTTGGCCGCCAGGCAGCGCGGATGCCTTCTAGCTTTTAGCTCCACATTTGAGCCCTTCACAAGGGAAGCCCCAAGCGGCGCTGCGGACTTTGACGCCTCCTCCTGCCGAGTCGATCCGATCCTC